TTTCTGAAGAGTGATTGGTGGGTTTGAACCACTGACCTTGTGGTTAGCAGTCCAGTGCTGATCCTATAGCACTATACCAGGTCTTTAATGTAGGAAATGCCTACTCTCAAGGATGGTATATTTCCTATGAGATAGCAGATAGCAAAGAAGTGTGATAAAGCATGCTGAAACATTAAAGCAGGAGTGGTTGATTTGGGGCATTTCCTCAATGTATCATTCACTACCAGCTCAAAACATGTAGGTTCTTTGAAGCTGAATGAACAATGATACAATGATAAGGTCCGTATTTCTGTTTAATGTCTATTGCGTTAAAGTCACATGATCCTGTATTTTGATGTTACGTTTGCAACAAGGGAATGCAAATCTAACGTGCTTGGCTCCTTCACCTCAAAATGCTAGGCAGGAATTGTGGAATTCCTTGTTTGGGTTTCAATTTTGGAAAAACAAAGTAATTTTCATTTTATGACCACTGTGGAACTTGTCGCTCCTGAGCAAACTTTTGTTACAGTTCATTGAATCGCTACTCCAATTCTCATTACTTACAAATGAAGATTTAGGAATATCAAGGACCATTGTAGGAAGTTTTTTTGGTTCCCAAATTAATGCCTATTTAAAATTTGTCTAGAATTAAATATTCTGGAGACAGCAGAGTATCAGTTTAGAATATAGTTTGCTATGAGGCAGTTTGGTCTTTTAAGTAAAATCTGCAGCTTTTGGGGGCCAATTGAGACCTAGATTCCGGCTGTGAGTTCTGGTTAGAGTAGGGGGGGAGCCTCATGGGGGCATTACCTGGGAAGAGGAATTTGAGACATCCTGGGGATTGGATCTTTTTAAGGAAGTGTTATGTTGATGGATGGATACCTAAATGAAATAAAAATGATTTTGCCTCTTGTGAAAGATATGAATATGAAATTTATAAAGCTAATACTTCCCCATCCCATCATCCCTAGTCAGCCATTTGGGAGGTGCCTTCTTAGCTACTGCCCCAGGGTATTTTCTTCTCCCATTTGTTTCCTTTATGTTTCTGCTGCTGTTCTTCCTGTATTGAGATGATACCCAGTTGCTGTTGCATCCATTCCACCTCATGGCAACCTATCTGTGTTAGAGTAGAACTGCGCTCCACAGGGTTCTTAGTGGCTGGTTTCTCATAAGTAGATTGCCAGACCGTTTTTTCCAAGGGGCCTGTGGGTGGACTCGAACCTCCAGCCTTTGGGTTTGTAGTCAAGCACATTAATCCTTTGCACCACCCAGCCCCAGATATGTGTTGTAAATCCAAACTCCTAACCCCATAGTTATAATTCCATTGGGGGACTGAGTTTCCTTTGTTGGTAGGCAGTACAGTCATGCACCACTTAACGTTCATTCTAACAACATCTGGTCTCATTCCTCAGAAAACCTATTGTATTAAAAATTTGAGATACATACAATGACTTTTAGTAACAAAGGGACAATACTTTGCAATGAGCATCAAAACATTACTGTTTTATTGTGTTAAAGATGTTTTCCTGGAAATGTTTCTTTTAATGGTTGTGTGTGTGTGTGCATAGAAAGAGACTATACAGGATATACTTAAAAACAAACATTTAACTAAATGACATTTGTATTTTAGATATGAGCCATTCCTAACTGTCCCAATTTACATACGAATGCTACTTAAAGACAAATTTAGGAACAGAATGCTTTCATAATCTGGGGACTGTGTCTGTACTAGGGGAATCTTGGAAAATCCACAGAAATATTCCATTATCTTCTTTTTCTACGAACTTTTTGAAGCCCCGTCATATATAATAAATATGGAGTCCCAGTGTGGTGCTGTGGGATAAAGCACTGGACCGCTAGGTTAGTCTGAACCACAAGGTTGGTGGTTCAAATTCATCAGCCGGTCCTTGGAAACCCTATACAGGGCCACTATGAGTCAGAACCAACTCAAAGGCACTTAACAACAACAAAAGTGTTGCTATGTAAACCAGGGTCACTATGAATTGGAATAGATTCGACAGCACTTAACAATAGTAACATATATAATACGGAGCCCATCCAATGTCCAAATCACCTAGCTTCCTATTTCACAGAACATACTGTGGATGTTAAGTGACACATGACTGTCCTAGAGTAGGATTTGGCAAGGTTGGTGGTTCGCACTCACCAGCTGCTCCTGGGAAACCCCTATACAGGGTTACTCAAAGGCACTTAACAACAACAAAAGTGTTGTTATATAAACCAGTTTCTTTTGAGATTGGCTGGGGGAGGAGAGGTGCCACACCGCACGGAGTTTACCCAAGTTTACCCAGGAGCGGAAGCTGAGAGGAGAAGGAGGCCCCTTCTCTTACAGCTGGGGCCCTGAACTCAGACTTCCTAGCCTCCTAAACAGAGTCCTGCTGTAGGATAAGCACTGGCCTGCTAGCTGCAAGGTTGGCGGTTCATACCCACCAGCTGCTCCTCAGAAACCCTATAAACAGTGCCCCTATGAGTCAGACCTGACTCGATGGCACTTTAGAAAACCCAAAACTTTTTATTATGGCTCGTGCCTTTGTAATTAATGAGCCCTCATAGCATAGTGAGTTCTGAGTCAGCAGTATGAATCTACCAGCTACACCATGGGAGAAAAATGAAGCTTTCTCTTCCAGTAAAGATTTGCAACCTGGGAAACCCTATACAGGGTTGCTGTGAGTCAGAACCAAGTTCTCTGCACACCACCACTATGTCTTTGTATGCTTGTACAGCTCATACTGACTTTAGCCATTGCCTTCCTGATGAGTCAGGCTTTGAAAGAGTTAGTACTGCTTGAAGCAGCTTGTAATTTACTCTTGACGGTCTCTTAGGAGAAACTGATCAGAGATGGGAGTTGAGTATAGGAATAAGAAAGAATCATTTCTTGTACCTCAGACTTCATTGGAAAAATGTTTATGGAAACACTTTAAGTTGCCAATGATTTGACCAACTTGTACCTTTGTATTTTGGGAATACCCTGCCAGTTAATTTGCACCTTGGTACTATTAGAGTTTATTTTCTACTTTGTACAGTTACAATTTTTAAATATCATAGTATTGAATAATTGTATGCTTCATCAAGTTGTGCTTTTTTTTTTTTTTTTAGTTGTTTCTTAATTGGTGTGTTACTTATTTTTTGCATATCAGAAAACATTAGAATAAAGTTGTTCTGCAGAATTTTTCATTCTTTGAGTTTTTAGTGGGAGTTTGAGTTAAAAAAAAATTTTTTTTTTAAAACATAGTAAGCAGTATTAGAATATTAGCATCCCTGTATGGACTTGACTGATGTGTATTGCATTGGTCAGATCTGCAAAAGACTTCTTTAAAGTGTTAAAAAGAGCAAAGATGTTACTTTGAGGACTAACTACGTCTGACCCAAGTCATGGTATTTTCAGTTGACCCATATGCATGTGAAGTTGGACAATGAATAAAGAAGACAAGGGAAAAATTATTGCATTTGTATTATGCTGTGGGCGAAGCATATTGAAAGAACCATGGACTGCCAGAAGAACAAAGAACTCTTTTGGAAGAAGTGCAGTCAGAATACTACTTAGAAATGAAGATGGCAAGACTTCTGTATCTAGTACTTTGGACATGTTATCAGGAGGGTCAATAAAAATGAGGAAGACCCCCCACCCCAACGAGATGGATTGAAACAGTGGCAACAGCAGTTGGCTCAAACATACTAACAAATGCGAGGTGGCTGCAGAATCAGGCAATGTTTCCTTCTGCTGTATGTAGGGTTGCTGTGAGTCGGCAGCACTGAGCAACAGCAGTAATAACATACGGCCTTATCTGCATGGTGACATGGGAGACACCTTAGGCATGTTCAGAATACTCTTGTTGAACCTGTAAGATAATAACCTAACAGTTGTGAACTGGGAAATGTATTTGAAATCTTTGACAAGCTGATCTCTTTGTTCTGTTATCAAATGTTAATACTTGTGCTAGTTGTGCTTAGACCACGTGAATTTAATGACTGTGTCAGTACATGAATAAGGTTCTGATTCTTCAGGCACAGAATTGTATGTGTTCTGTGTTTCTCAAATACGATCTTAGTATCTTCGAGAGTTGTGGGTGTAACAGGTGTTACATATAAAAAGAGGAAAATGAGCAATGTTTAAATTGGCTATATTTCTGAGGAAGTTCATAGTTCTCATCTTTATGGAGTTTAGTTTTTATTTCACTTGGTCATGTGAAATGACCCAGCTGAATTTTATGAAGAAACAAAACGGAAACCTTGCCAAGTATGGGTTCATTGCAAGATAATTTATTTGCTATTCATCCTGGAAGACTTTATAACTTGATAATCTTTACAGATGGATCAAATTAAAGAACTTTAGGCAAATGGATAGCATGAGTGGTTGATGATGGTGGTGTGCTGTGAACTCGGTTCTGACTCATAGCAACTCTGCATAGGATTTCCGAAACTAAATCTTTATGGGAGCGGAAAGTCTCATTGTTTTCCCACAGAACAGCTGGTAATTTTGAACTGCTGACCTTAAGGTTCACAGCCCTACTTGAAATCACTATGCTACCAGAGCTCCTTATAGCATTAGTAAAAGTGACAATTTCTTCCTGCTAGATTAAAAAAAAAAAGACCAACAATGCTTCAGCAAGATAAAATGGTTGAATTAGTGTCTTTTATGGACCACAAGGTCACAAACAGCTCACTTTCATATAGCTACAGTGTGATGAGAAGGTAATTCTACTTGATGGGAGTTTCTGCCTCAGTGATGAGGTCATGGCAGCAGTGGAATGGGTTTGGTCTAGTGTGAAGGCATCCCTGTAGCTCACCGAGAGTGGTTCTGAAGAATTTCTTGGGGTCCAGAGAAGATGCTGACGTCAGAGTTTATAGAGTAACACGAATGGCTTCTGTCTCCTCACATCAAGTGTTATGCATTTTATTTGAATTGTTGGGCTACGGCATTTGAAAATTAAATGTGTAGAAAAAGGACATTTTGAGAGAGAAACATTTCACTATATTTTAAATTTCTTTTCCCCCCCCAGTTGGAAAATGGATACACTTTGTTTGACTATGATGTTGGACTGAATGACATAATTCAGCTACTGGTACGCTCAGACCCGGATCTTCCTAGCACTTCTAAGCAGACTGATGCACAAGTTAAACCGAGCCCTAACAGCCCACCTAAAGGAAAGAAAACCTCAAGGGTGGGACCTTCCAGTCAGCCGACTACATCGGCTCATGCATTTCTTATTGATCCTGGCATTGGACTCTATAAGGTATGTTGTCTCTTCAGACTTCTAGTTTGCTGTGAAAATACAGTGTCGTTAATCTGCTGTGAATAAGTAGAGGTTGTAAACACCGGGATGTTAATATTTTGTTAAAAGTCTTTAAAATGTACTGTGAAATATACGTAGACAAATGTATAAAATGTGTATGTACAGTTTAAGGAACAATAATAAAGCAAACCTGTGTAATTCCACCAAGGTTAAGAAGTTAGAATGATGCCAGTACCTTTTTAAAGCCTCCTGTTGTGTGCCCTTCCAGATCACACCTCCCTCTAGCTCCCTGAGAGGTAAACAACTTCTGACTTCATGATCATGTTCTTGTTTTTCTTTAGTGTTCCTACTTATATATATGACTCTAAACAATGTTTCATTTTGACTACATTAGAATTTTATATAATGGAATTCTACTTTTTCCACAACTTTTGAGAGATTTCCTGATGCATATTAGCTCTGTTTTATTCTGCTTCACTATTATAGTGTTCCATTTTATTGTTGTAAAGTGCCAGTGAGTTGGTTCTGACTCATAGCAACCCTGTGCAGGGTTTTTGAGGTGTGACTGATGGATCTGAACCTACTAACATTACAGTTAACACTTAAGTGCTTACCCAACAGTGCCATACCAGGACTTCTCTTCCATTTTCTTAACATAGCATAAAACATTTCTGTTATCCTGGATTAATAGCTATTTGGGCTCATGGCAATGTTCAGCTGTTTCACACTTTGCCTGTTTTGAACCTTCTGGTAGAAAGTGTATCCTGATGCACTTTAGGTTTTCTCTCTGGGAATAGAAATGCAGGTTCTACTTTTCTGGATACTGGTCTATGTAGATTCTCTCCTTTGCCCAAACTGTTTTAAGTATTGTAGCTTTATAGGTGATTTTGATAATCTCCCTTTTCCCCATTCCCCCAATTTTGTTTCTCTTCCAGAATGTCATGGTATTTTGGCTTTTAATACTTATATAAACATTTTAGATTTAGTTTGTCATGCTTTACAAATAAATACTCGAGTTTGATGGGAAAATTGTATCTACAGTTCAACCAGAATTGACGTCTTTATAAAAGTGTTGAGTCTTTTAATTCATGTACGTGATGAATCTGCCCATTAATTTAGATCCTTGACATCTTGCAGCTGACGTTGAGCTTTTCTCTTTACCCACCTTATTCAGTTTATTGCTATTTAGCTTTTTGATGCTTATATAAGTGGTTAGCTCTTAAAATTGCAATTTGTATGCTGATATGTATAAATGCAATTGATTGATTTATTGACCTTTGTATCCATCAACTCTTCCAAACGACTGTAATAAATCGTGTAGAAATACTTGAATACCTGTTTTTTATTTTGTTTTTGTTTTCTTTTTTTGGTCTTGGTGCACTGTTGCACAGCAGTGGTGACCGTGGGTAAATTCCTGTTTTGTTTCACCATTATGATGTTTGGGAGGTTTGTTGTTTGAAATTTAATTCAGACTCGGATTTTCAAGTCTAAAGATTAAAAATTTATAACATGACTTACTTAAGAATATGAAAATAGAGATAATAATAGATCAGGGAAACTGTAAACATACCCACGTATATAATAGAAGGCATCAAGAAAGCCAGCAGCAAAAAGCTCGATCTCCAAAAAAAGCCCGGGGTGTCTTCATTGATAAATTGTTTGAAATTGGGAAAGAATAGATAATTCCACACCATAAACTAAGAAGGCCACTTTACCACTGCTTTATAAACTTAGTATAGCATTGGCCTTAAACGTGGTAGAACACAGTAGTACCACTAACATTGATGACATTGATGTAAAACTGAAATGATATTTGTTGTTGTTGTTAAGTGCCGTCCAGTGTGTTCTAACTCATAATGACCCTGTGTAGGTAGGGTTTCCGAGGAGTGCCTGGTGAGTTTGAATTGTGGACCTTGCTGTTCAGACTGACTTTTCGGGTCACTGCTTATCCTACAACACCATACCAGACTCCCAAAATTAAATCTAGCAACCAGAACTGTGATTGTGTTGTGTTGTTTAAGTGCTGTTGCCTTGGCTCTGACTCATAGCCACACTCAACCCTCTATTGGCTTTCCAAGGAGCAGCTGGTGAATTTCAACGGCCACCCTTGTGGTTACCGAGTTTAGTGCTTTTATTCTTCAGCTCCACACCGGGATTCCTACTGCATAGTGTTATTGTTAATGCTGTCAAGGTCGGTCTGACTCATAGCGACTCCTGTATAGGGTTTCTGAAGAGCAGCTGGTTGAGTTTGAAGCGCTGACCTTGTGGTCCAATGATTTTACCTTCCCCAAGTTTGGTTTGTCAGGAAATGGGGGCAGTTGCTTATTATTGTTGTGTTAAGTGTCAGTGAGTGGTTCTGACTTTAGCGACACTGTGTAGGGTTTCCAAGGAGTGACCAGTGGCTTTGAACGGCTTACCTTGCACTTAGCAGTCCTACATCACCACAGCAAACTCTTTAATTTGCTATTAGGAAATGTTTTCAGTAGAATTAATTGTAGTAACAAACCAGAGAAAAGTTTTAATCCATTTCTGATTTAAAAAAAATCCTTGGTAACAAGAACAGTTGGAATAGATGAATATTTTAAACAACAGCCTGCATCTTAATGGTTGGAAAACCCCAGAAACATTCCTATTAAAGACAGGAGCCAGGCAAGGAAGCTAAAGGATGCTGCTGTATTTTGACATTTGTTTAAAGACATCTTAGCTACTGCAGAGCCTATAGTGTGTAGTGGATGATAAGCTGAGCTCCTAACTGCAAGGCCACTAGTTTGAATCTCTCAGCCACTCTGAGGGTGAAAACTGAGGCTTTCTGCTCCCATAAAGATTTACAGCCTTGGAAACCCTATAAAGTTGGGACCAACTTGGTGACACATCACCACCACCAGTTAGGCAGGAGAAGAAAAATTCAGATTTAATATTAGAATACTATTAGTTGTCTTTGCTGTAATCAGTTAGAAAATAAATTGAAGAGAAAACATGTCTGCATTAGTAAAAGGTAAATCTGTCACTGACTCTATCGGATACGGGTTTTTTTGATGCTGTCCTGTTGATTCCCACTCCTAGTAACACACTGACAGCAGAGTGAAACTGGCTCTTAGGGCTTCCTGAGCTATCTGTCATCTTTATGAGAAGAGAGCTCCAGCTCTTTTCTCCCAAGAAGCCATAGGTGGGGTCAACCCATTGACCTTTTTGGTTAGCAGCCAGGCACATTCAGATGACCAGGCATAGGACTTAGGAAAGGGGTAAAACACAATACTCAAATTTTGTTGCTAGTATCACCATGGCATTTCTTCAGAATACCAATGCTTCAGAGTTGTTACTTTTTCACATTGTTAGTTTATAAAGAAATTTTTTTAGATCTGATTGGCAGCAAGTCCACAGAGGTAAAGTGGTATTTTCATCACCTATCCAGGGTTAACCATGACTTAGATTGTGTATCAACAGTGACAGCACTATTGATGTGAACACTTATGATTGACCTAGGCCAGGTGTCTCCACTGTCACATTAGGGGATCTTCTCCTGGTCCCCCTCCCACCCTGCAACTTGGGAAGGAAGCGAGCGTAGCCCACACTTAAGAAGTGGGAAGTAACGCAAACTGTTAGCATGCATTATTTGAAATTTTTCTGTGTGTGAGATCTCTTCTTCCCCATTTATTTATCATCCATGAAATATCAATTCATGGGTGTTTTATACTTAGGGTTCGAATTCAGTAATATTTTTTTTTGTGTGGTTCAAATCGTTCCAGCTTCAGCCATTGGAAGCCTATGAGTTGGCTCCCGATTTATGTCCTTTTGTCTTACCACCACCTTGTGGGGTGTTTTGTTTTGTTTTGAGCACCTTCTGGCTCAACAGGGGGTTCCAGGCTCATCTTGTGAATTTCCTGATGCAGTCCTAGAGTCATTCATTTCTCAAAGGAGCCCTGGTTTCTTAGAAACCAACATCCAGACGCTAGGCATGTCCCTTGCTCCTGGGCTGTTATTTTTTTTTAGACCCTCTCAGCCAACAGAGCAAGGAAATGTCTGTATACACACTAATTCTTATAGAGGACCCCTGGTGGCACAGTGACTGAGTGCTGCTGGGAGACTAACTGAAAGGGTGGCAGTTTGAGCCCATCAGCTGCTTCTCAGGAGAAAGCTGTAGCTGTCTACTTTCTGCAGGATTTATGGCCTTGGAAACCTTATGGGGCAGTTCTTTGTCCTATAGAGTTTGCTATGATTCAACCAGTAGTTTTGTTTCTGCGTATCCCTTGTATATGTCAGGGGGCGTCAAAAAGTTCATGGAAAAATTTCATTATTTTTTCATTCCATTTTTTCCCATGAACTCTTTGAAGCCCCCTCCTATCTGTAAATATTTCTGTACATAGCTCAGTATGTGTTAAGTTGATATTGTTACTCTTAAACTTCTTTTTGGGTAAAGACTCTCAGTTTAGAAGCTGTTACCTTTGAATTTGTTTGTTGGAGTTAGTGAAGAGATGCCTTTGCGCACACAGGATTGCTGCATACCTACAGATGGGACATTAGCCTCACTCAGTGAGACAGCTCTGGACTGTTTATGTTTGACCGGCTCCTCACACTCTGCAAGCTCTGCGTCCTAATTGTGCTGTCAGAAAAAACGTTTCTCAGCAGATTTTGGCTTTCTATTTTCATGCATTAGCTATCAGTTCTAGTACCTAACTTAAACTTGTCTTTTTTTTAACTTCTCTTGCTTTCATATTAGTATGTAGTTTGTTGTTGTTAAGTTATGAACTATACAAACTTGGCAAGTATGTTTTACATCAAGTATCTGTGTCTATACTTAAACACTTGAACTTTCAAAAGGATAGAGTGTTAGTCAAACAGTACCATTATGAGGAAAGCTGCATTTAACCTTCCTTGTTAGTTGAAGAGACTGTAGCCTTGGAAACCCTATACAGGGTCACTAGGAGTCACAATCTACTTGCTGGCAGTGGATTTATTTGTTTGCTTTTTTCCATCTCTAGAGTAGAAACCAATTTATTTTCTGAAACAAGATGGACTTTTAATGTTTGTATTGATTTTCATTTTGGCTTTTGGGTAAGGAAGGTATTTATAATTATAACTCTAGAGAGAGTCTACTTTTGAAATTATTATCACCCTGACCCAAATGGTATGTGTGGTATTGTTTGTCATGAGTGAGAACTGCTTGATAATAGTGAGTAAAAGTATGAGTTCTTATTTGCTGTTATAAATCTAGGGGTTGTTTACTCAAATAATGCCCTTCATTTGTCAGCTAGTAAGTTCTCTCATGTGTGATGTTCAAAATAATGGTAATGGCATTGTGTTTAGGTTGGTTTAGGTTTCTGTTAACTCCAATTGAAGTATCTCGTTTCTAGCTTTATCTGCTAGTGTCTACCTTCTCGGTGTCATCTTGGTGATTTGAACCCATTTTATAGTTTTAAATACCTGTGTCTGAGTTCATCACTTACTTTTGAAGTTCCTGTTATATGATCATGATTTTACAGTAAGCTTCAGAGTATCATGGCAAGAGCATAACATCAAGATCAAGGTGTCCTCAAATTTTGGCTTTCCATTTTAATAGCTTTCACCTAGAACAGATTAACTTAACTTTCTGTTTCCTTATTTTGTAAAATAGGTATTGGTAGCAGTATTATTCAAAGACAGGTATGTTGTTCTTCTGGAAGTCCATGGTAGTTTAAATATTCATCACCAGTGCCATCATTTAAATTTTTCTATGGTCTTCCTTATGTATTGTTCAACTTTCACATACATATGAGGCGATTAAAAATACCATGGTTTAGATAGGTTGTTGTTAAGTGCCGTGACTCATAGTGACCCTGTATAGGGTTTCCAAGGAGCAACTGGTGCATTTGAACTGCTGACCTTGTGATTCGAAGTCCAGAGCTGATCTTGCAGCTCCATACCAGGAGTTCTGAATAAGGAAACTTGCATGGTAGCTGCACATGGCAATTTAACTTTTAGTACATTACTTTTTTCCCATTCTCAGGTAATATCATCTGTCATTATTTTAGACACCCTAGGTGCTCTGTATTCCTTCAGGGAAGAGCCAGCCAGATGAGATGGTGATTTCATTTTTCCTTTGAAGACCATAAAGAAAAAGAAAAGATGGAAGGACATTGACCTTTTTCACCATTGTGCTCCAGTTTTTTTAGAAAGATGTTCTTTTACTTATTTCCATTTCATAGCTTTAATTCTCTAGTAAACCTGTTTCCTAATTTTCCTGTTTTTCCTCCAGTTAGATTGCATGATTTCGTTCTGGATCTCCCACTAGACTAGATGACATACGTTTCATGTCTTATAGCCCTGTTCTTTGCTTTCACCTCCCTGTAGTTTTGTCAAGTTAAGCTAGATTTAGATAGCATGCCTTTTATATTTTCTCTCACTTCTGTGAGGGTGTTAAGTAGATGCATTTGCTCATGAGAAACTAACTGGTGATGGAATTTATTTACCTCATTTTGTATAGAAGGATTTGCTAGACTCTTCCCAATGACTTTATGCATAATTCCCTCATTTTCAAGTTTTATCATAAGTCTGATTAATACTTTATTGTTTTCTGGTTGGGCAATGTAATTTACCTTTAGAATTATGAAAAAATTCATGGAACAAATTACCGTTGTAATCATTTGAAGTCTTGGCCTTTTCAGTGGTGATGTTTTTATTGGGTGACTTGACTTGCCAGAATTCAGTTTCTAAAGTCAAGTAAGTGCAGGCTGGGATAAGGAGTAGTGAAAGAAAAGGATTTCATTGAAGGAAACTGGGAGGAAATTTCATTTTTATATTAGTAAGAAAAAACAGATGTAAGACAGTAAAATCCAAAACGAATAAAGTTGATTTAATCTTTTAAATCACCATTTTAATCGTGAGTAGTGCAAATATTGTTTACTACGATAACCCTCAAATAATGAGTAATATTGAGGTTTTTGAAGCAATTGATGAAATTAAGCTTCATTAACTAATTTTAAACTTTTTTTAGGTAAATGAATTGGTGGATGCCCGAGATGTCGGCCTTGGTGCTTGGTTTGAAGCACATATACGTAGTGTCACTAGAGCTTCTAATGGACATTCACGTGGCAAAGCTCCACTGAAGAACGGCAGTTCTTATAAAAGGACTCATGGACATGTAAATCACAATCCCAAAGAGAACGTAAATACATTGGACAATGTGCCCTCGACGTCTAATTCAGACTCGGTTGCGGCTGATGAAGACGTAATTTATCATATCGAGTATGATGAGTAAGTGCTCATACTACTGAGGACTTCATTCATGTTTTTGTTTGTAGAAGCAAAGCCTTCCATTTCAAGATTGCTTTCAAATAATTGTCTCTCTAAAGAAATCATGTAGGGAGTCATGTTCAAGCTGTGATTTTTTGTTTGTTTTGTTGCTGTTTGGTGGTTGTAACCTAATGAATAAGGACTTATTTTAACTCTTCCCGGTTATCTCCGGCTCATAGGTGGTTTATGATCTCGACCCTAATACCTGACTTAATTTATGATATAAAAGTTAATATTTGTCTCTCCTACTACTATCCATGGGTTTTTGACTTGTGTTTTAATAGTATTTTAGAAATTAGATAATACCCTATAATGTAATAGCCATTAGAATGAAGTTGGAATTTTTCAAAAATAGTTTGTAATTGAGATATAATTCACATGCCATACAACCTTACCCCCCTTTAAAGTCTGCAACTGAATGTGTTTTAGTATATTCACAGGGCTATTCAACCATCACCACAAAACTACCTGTAGAACATTTTTATCCCCCTAAAAGGAAGCCCCATACCCATTAGCAATCATTTCTTACTGCTCCTTCTACCAGTAAAACAGATTTTATAAAATGTTAGAGTGGAAACCATGTTAGGAATTTGTATTGAGGGCCCAGATTCTTACACTAAATTACAATTTTCTTTACCCATTTTCAAAATCCTAGTACAAAAGTTGCTGTTGGGGACAGATTTTGTATTTATTCAAGATATTCAATGAACTTAAACCATCATTCAAGTAATGCCTTATGGAAAATATCTACCAAATTCTTGTAAGAGTTCAAAATTCTAGAATGGTTGTGGTATTTTCTACTCCATAATGGTATAAAAAGACTCTGATATCAACTTATTTCTAGGATACTTGGAAAAAGGGGTCAGAAGTAAATTCCAGGTGACTTTTCTTGGTACTTGTCGAGGTTGTGGCTAACCTACCAATACTACTTGACTACAAATGAGCCATCCTACTTTTTTGGACTGTAGTAGGTGGTAATATGAGAACCAGCAACTAGAACCAATACAAGGACTGTGATTGACCAGAATGAGCAGTATTAATGAGTTGAACTTGAGGTTGAAAGAACTTGGCATTGCTGTGTTGACAAGTAAGCGTTCTCCGGATGTCTGAATGCTGTGGTAAAGAGGCAAGATACTATAGTGGTGGAGGATTTCCGCTATCTGTATATCTCTCATCAAGAAAGTGCCTTTGGTTTCCTTGATTGAGCTTGATGTCATGGAGAGTAGAAGAAACGACTAATAATAAACTAACTGGGACCTAATTCTGGCCCCAAACAGATTACTGTTTGACAAAAAGTGGTGCAGAATGATGGGACTTGAAAGTCAGGTGAGAAGTTTGAAGCACAGGAGCACTTGTTAGGGCCGTGGAGTCGGCTCCGATTTATAGTCACCCTGTACTGGGCTTTCTGAAGCTTTAAAATCTTTGCGGGACAGAAACCTAATTTTTTTTCCTGCAGAGCTGCTGGTGGATTCAAACTGTAGACTTTGTTTACAGTCTAGTGCTCACTAAGCACATTAAGCCTTACTAAAGTTTTGTAGTTTTAGGGACTTGTCAAGATGAATATGGAGTAAGACTATCTAAGGAGTTGGCCCAGTGCCACAGTTGTGTTGGCATGCTAGAGCACCAAACACTGACTGAACTTCCGAAAAATCATAGATAATAGAAGCTTGTTGCCGTCAAATTGATCCCAACTTCTGGCGACCCCATGTATGCAGGCAGAGTAGAATTGCTGCTCCATAGGATTTTTAAGGTTGTGATCTTTTAGAAGCAGATCACCAGTCCTTGTTTCCAAGGTGCTTCTGGGTGGGTTCAAACCACCAACCTTTCAATTAGGAATTGAACTCTTAGCTTCAGTTAGAACTTACAGTTAGTATTTGTCTCATGTGGAACTAGGTAAAAGGTGCTTCTGGGTTGTTGTTATTGTTAAGTGCTGTTGAGTTGGTTTCAAAGCATAGTGACCCTGTATAGGGTTCCTGAGAAGCAACTGGTGGATTTGAACTGCTGACCTTGTGATTCACAGTCCAGTGCTGATCCTACAGTGCCACCCAGAAGTCCCATATAACCAAAGGCTTTTCTATTAGTATCTAGGAAGAATCAAGGTGTGATAAAATAAGTTTTGAGAAATCCTGTTAAACTTTTATTCTTAATAGTTTTTAGAAAAGTGAAATTCAAAAAAATGTAGTTAGATAGATGTTGACTTTCAGTAAGTCATCAAACCATTTCTTCTTTGGATGAAGGGTGCATTTGAGAGAGCTGGTGGAGTATGTGGCTTATTAATAGCAATAAACAACTTTTTATTGCGATGTAAGCTTTAAGTGAATTAATAGGCTCTGATTGTCAAATAACTCTGCTGTAAGGATTTTTTCTTAAAAGTGTTACTTGGAAAAAGCCAGGCGGTGTTATTGTTTACCTGGCCAGTTACTCCCTACATGACATATTGTCTTCCAGCTATAGAGCTTTAAGGACAGTATCAACAGGACATGGTACTAAAGTAACTGTGTATTTAGCTTGAAAAGACCTGGGTCATGATAGTGTCATATTTTGAAAGCTTTGAAAACTTCCCGGAAGGAAGTTCTGTACAACATAGAATATAGGTTTGAAGATAACTGAAACCTCCTACCAGTCAGTCTCTAATTATTGGTGTGCCTTTGAAAGATACCCAATAGACAGAATTGGACATCTTCAACCATAAAGTGACAGGCAGACTTGGCTAGAGATGTTACATTGCAAAAAGAATTGAATACATTAGGAATAGAGAGTCTCGAGTTAGCTGTGTGGCGGAGTAAGCTTAGTCCCTGGTTCTGGAGGCATGTGAACCTGCCCAGGGTTATAACACATCATAAACAATGAACAGAGAGTTGTGTTCACACTTCAGGTCTTTACCACATCCATCCACCAGGAGACAAGTGCTGAGTGCCTGAAGAGGACACACCAATTGTAATCAACTTAGTAAAATACACCACCACAATGTCTCGAAGAAAACAAGCAACTTTAGCTTACACAGAGAAATAATACAGTACCTCAAACAAGTGACCAGAATACAGAGTCAGAAAATATAACACCAGAAATGGGATCAGAACTGTCTGATAGGAATGTAAAAGAATACTAATTAGGCAACTTCAGCGAATTGAAAGAAAACAGATAAAGCTGGGGGGGGGGGATCAGGAAACAAAATGACAAAATAATTGAAATAAAATTGGCATTCTAAAAATTACCAATTTAGAAATGAGAAGATTAAGACTTCAGAAGTAGCTGATACACTGGAAGGGCAAAGAAACAGAATTGCCTTAATAGAAAGATGAATTACTGAGCTTGAAGAGAAATCAATCATCTGCCAGAGGAATAATCAGAAAAAAGAACCCCCAAAAATCTTATCAGTAGGAAATGTGGGAGAAAGATGAGGCTTTCTACTCCTGCAAGGATTTACAGGCTTGGAAACTGTGTACCAGGTGGCTGTGAGTTGGAACCATTTCCACAGCACTAAACAAGGAATTCTAGAACAGAAAGTGACAAAAAATATATATATATATAATATTGCCCAAGAGTTGTTGGAAGAAAACTTCCCTAACATCATGAAAGATGAGAAAGATAGCCTTCCAGGAAGTTGAACGAACTCCAAGTAAGATAGACCCCCAAAGAAAAACACCCCAGACATATTATTTATAATCAAGCTTTTCAAAACTGAAAACAGGGAAAGAGTCACGAGAAGCAGCTCAGGATAAACAAAAAGCTACCAAAAAGACTAAGCTCTGATTTCTCAACAGAAACCACACAGGCAAGAGGACAATGAGATGACATATGCAAAATTCTGAAAGAAAAGCAGTTGCCAGCCAAGAGTCATATATCCAGCAAACCGTCCATCAAATACGACAGTGAAACTAAGACATTTTCAGACCAATAGAATTTAAAAAAAAAAAATTTTTTTTTAAAGAATTTGCAAAAACCAGATAAACCTTACAAAAAATACTGACGGGAGTTCTTTAGACAGAACCTACAACCACAAACAACCAGAGAGACAAGTCAGATATGGAAGAATGTTAAGTAAAACAGACCTCTAAGAACAATAGAGAAGCTGTGATACAATTACAAGAACAAAAAAACACGCCTAAAATAAAAAGAGGAAATAATCTAGTTACAGAATTTCCAAGTGAAGGAGAAACCAAATAGATTTCATGAAAAACAAACAGCCTAACAGTAACCATAAACTAAAGCAAGCCTTACTCCTAGTGCTAGCCCAGCACCTAGCCCTAACAGGAGTCCTGGTGTAGCGCTATGGGTTAATGTGCTGAACTGCAAAGTCAATTTGAATCACAAGGTCAGTGATTCAACCTTGTTTTCTCCTGTTATTAACATCTTGTATTAGTGTGCTGGGCTTGTTAACATGATGAACCAAACTGATAGGATTACTTTAAGCAAAGTCTTTGATATTAGCAGTTTCACTCCTACAGTTCTATGGCTTTTGACAGAGTCATGCTATGTGTCCAACATTAAAGTATCCTAAGAATAGTTTCACTGCAGGTAACATGTTGTTTTTGTTAAGTGCCATCAGATCGGTTCTGACCCATAGTGACCCCATATAGGGCTTCTGAGGAGCTGCTGGTGAGTTTGAACCTCCAAGCTTGTGCAGTGCAACATTATCCTACAGCGCCACCTCAGGCCATTCACAGCTTCATCTCTCCCCTTGAGCCCGGACAACCGCTGCTCTTTTGACTACTGTCACTAGTGTTCCGTTACACAGGCTACCTTTTTGAAGGCTTTTTATTGGAGGTATTTCAGTTTGTAGGTAACTCTCTCTCACTTGCTTGTGTTAACTCTCAGATTCACATCTTGTGAATCACTACAGATAATAAAAGGCAAGTGGGGGGTTAATTGACTTCAGAGAATCTGATACAAAATAGTTTGTGTGTTCTGATTGTTAGAAGTTGTATACCACTTGCCACATCTTTAGATCTCCATCAACC